TTTAACAAAATGGGCAGTTTGCACTTGTTGGGCAATGGACACTGTGGAAGCGGCCTCTGACTGGATAGCTGTAAGTCCTGCAAAAATTATAGTTAAAATAAAATCCAAAAATATATTTTTAGTAAAATCCTAATGTAGCTCAAAGAGACTGTGTTGTCCAAAGTCCCCATACTTAAAGGATTATTAGGTTGCACAGGAACAATAGCAAAGCAAGACTATTAAAGTAAAGGAAGGCTCCCATGAGCAAAGGCATCTATACAATTAGTGAGGATACAAGTAATATATGCAATTTTGAAGTGTACTCTCTTTTATTTAATAGAGGGATTCTGAGTCAGTTAGATTTATGGAGGTTTAACAGAATAAGTGATGTCAAATATAAAATGATATGCCATGGTTGGTCATCTTCTCTAATAATTCCATATGTCACCCCATTATCAGGGACAGTGGCTCAAAATCTAATGTTTTCCTCTAAAGATAGTATAAACAGGTCATGACCAATGAGAGGATTTTGGGATTTTATATTCATCCAGACCAGGTGGGTACCACTAAGATAATACAACCAGCACCGCAGATCATCTGTTCAATGGCAAGAATTATTTTAGCATCATGGAGCAAGCCACTCAAGGAGAATTCCATTCTGAAGCAGGGCACAGGAAAGTCACTAAATTCTGGGAAATGTCCATCCAATGGGGTAACTGATGGGTGATCAGAATGGTGAATGAGTTGGTGATGCTTGATTTTTGATCTCATGTGGACCCTTGAGTCACTCACAAGAGAAGAACATAGTCATACTGTCCCATCAATGACAAACAAATGGGAATAATTTATGATCTACCAATAAAGTTAAAGTGAATGGTACCAGCACAACATGTGAAACATCAGCATTGCAAAGTAAACAAACATATCATTAGTAAATACTCTAGTAGAAAGGTCTTCCCTTGTGATTGGATATGCCAAAGGGAATGTAAGCTATGCAGGCCCAGTAGACTTTACACTTTCCAGATTAAGTTTAGAGGTTGAGGCAATGCAAAAGAAATTTACCTTCTGAGAAGACATAACTGAAACATTCAATGGATGAGGAGTTACTTCTTAAAGTATAACATTAGGCACCCTAGAATGCTCTCACCTAGGAACACAGTATCTGTTTCTGGGATTGTGTACTTCCTATAAAGTAGTATTAAAAAATTTGAATCAGCCAGGTGGTGGTGGCACATGCCTTTAATCCCAGCACTTGGGAGGCAGAGGCAGGTGGATCTCTGTGATTTTGAGGCCAGCCTGGTCTACAAAGTGAGTTCCAGGAAAGGCACACAGAGAAACCGTCTCGAAAAACAAAAAACAAACAAACAAACAAACAAACAAAAAGAATCAAAAGATCAGCATGATATGAAGTACAAAGCTGGCCCATAAGGTCAAAAAGAGCTACCTGTCAAGAGTCAGTGAAGACCCAAAGTGAATCAAATAGTGAAGATGTTAAGGGGTGAACTATCAAGTCAATTTATTATGGAATAAATTGATGGGCTTGAGGATTCCTGTTTTCTGGATAAGCTAAGCAAGGATTTCATAATAATAAGTCAAGGGACAGCAAACATCAGTGGGCAGAAAAATCCATTCTATAGGTCTCCTAGGTTGCAAGAGTCAGCCCAGGCTGAGCTCCTGGAAACCAATCGATGAGAGAGAGAGAGGAGGGATTCTGTAGTTGGTGGACAACGAGATGAGGATGGAAGTACATGCAGAGATGACCGGTCACACTAGTAGAAGCCTATGAACTGTGGACTGGTGCCTGAGGAGCCCCCATGGGACTGGACTAGGCCCTCTAGATATGGAAGAAGGTTGTTTGGCTCGAACTCTTTGGGGGGCACCCAGGCTGGGGATTGGGATCCATTCCTGTTGCATGGGCAGGCTTTTGGGAGCCCAGTGCCTGTGGTGTGATGTGCTTGCACAGCCTTGGTGCATTGGGAAGGGGCTAGTACCTGCCTAGGCTCAGTGTGCCAGGCTATGCTGACTCCCTTTGGGAGACCTTGATTTGGGAGAGAGGGCTGGGTTGGGAAGGAGGGAGGAAGTGGGATCTGTAGGTGGTATGTGGAGTAAGTACAAAATTTCTCAGCCGGGCGGTGGTGGCGCATGCCTTTAATCCCAGCACTCGGGAGGCAGAGGCAGGCGGATCTCTGTGAGTTCAAGGCCAGCCTGGTCTCCAAAGCGAGTTCCAGAAAAAGGTGCAAAGCCCCCCCCCCCCAAAAAAAAATTCTCTCTCGGGCTCTCTGTGCACCATTCCTGGATCTTGCACTGTAGACCAGATCGGCCTCAAACTCACAAAGATCTGCCTGCCTCTGCCTCCCAATTACTGAGATTAAAGGAATGCGCCACCACCACGTGGCTTAAAATTTCTTAATAGAGAAAATTGAAAAAAAAATGTAAAAAAAAGTCAGCCAGAAGAGGGGTCATTATCTCCTCTTAATATGAAAAATTAGAGAGTCAAATCTTTTGTAGTATGTTTCAGGGAAGATATAAGCCAATTCGTATTTCCTAAGATCTTTTGAAAATCAATAAATGTTAGTAGTTACATGTGGATCTTTGTGGGCAAATGGTACTGTCCTTTATAATATGATCTAAATAAGAAAAGGTTTAATATGTGATTTTTCCAAGCAAATTTCCAGCTGCGTCTGTTCTAAGTGATGGTGGATGATGAGAAATAACTGAATAATTAGATTGTCAATAGGTACAGAAATCCCCTAGGTAATAAATAATCATGAAAGAACGGTACTTTTTTCTAACTGTGAGTAAGATTTGAGCAATAAATTGTTGACACAAGTTGGGGCTCTTGGCCATACCATGTAGTAGCATCTTCCATTGATCTTGCCTCATGAGTTTTTGAAAACTAGAGGAAGGAAAGCTAAATGGAAAATGAGGAGAGTCCTGAGGAGGATGGGGTTTGCTCAGTTAAACAAGTAGGAGCCAATTCAGACAATATTATCACTTCACCAGCAAAAATGAGGTTTCTCTTAATCCTCTGAAGTATCATGAAGTGAAAGTAATTCAATAAATTAAGGTACCTTCTGCTCCTCAGGTACTAAAATATCTCTATTTTGTGACATTTTATTTTATCTCGTGTCCCCCAGTTTCTATTGGAGTATTTTGGCTGTATCTACAGGGGCGTTGAATTACAAATGAATCATATTCAAACTGTAGATATAATTAATCATGTATAAAATTCAACAGCACAATCCCAAAATAGGAAATTCATGTGGCCCTCATAGGTGATATTTTTGTCTTTAAACTTCCACCTACATGTTCCCATGTCTTTAAATTTACAGAACCTTATTTGGGGAACCAAGAGTATATTTTTTAATGAAAGTAAAGAATTTATCTAAGTACCATAGTGATATGTGTCAAAGTAGAAGCCAATGAAACATGTGAAAGAAAAGAAATCGTTTTTTAGAATCTTTTCCTTCCATGTTTTAATCTCAGCTATTCCTTCATCCTTTCTTTCTTACAGGTCCTCACGTCGGACTCTTTTTGAACATTTATCACAGTAACAATCATTCTTGGTGATTTCTATTTATCTTGAGCCCTGTATTGAGTACCAAATTATGTGAACTGGAAGGAATAAGGATCCCAATGGTCAAGGTGATGAGATGTTTCAGGAGAGGACCATGTATGACAAACAAAGAAGACATGTATCTATGCCTAGGAGGTCTTGCATAAAATGATGAGTTATATCAGAAGATTATTAAGCAGAAAGCTTCCTACATGGTATATGTAAAAGGGAAATGGCTAAGTCTAGCACACACCTAAATCATAAAAGGCTGGCAAAAAGAACACATATATCCATACCTCAGTCACAGATGCATTAGGACTGAAGCACAGACTAGAAAAAAGTCCAATCTCCATGAAACTACAACATTCACACTTTTGAGAAACTGACTCTAGCCCTAGACTGGTTCTTGCCAATTCAGTTCCTGGACAAGGACCCAGAAGTAATGTTCCCTTTGTAATTTCATTGGGATCTCAGAGAATACCTTAGTTCAGTCTGGCTCTAGATACTAGGCTCTACACACTAGGCTCTATCACCTTCCTGGAGACATAGTTTTGTATAGTTGACATTCACAGTACCTGAATATGGAATTCCCTTCTGTAGAATGCTTGCCTAGAATGGACAAAGCCCTGGGTTGAACCCAGCACCATAAAAACTGGACATAGGGGCACACACCTGTAATCATTAAATTCAGAATGATCAGCATGTCAAGGCCAGTTTAGATACATAGAAAGTTTGAGTCAAAGCTGAGTTTTTAGGATTTTATCCAGTAAACTTACAATTGTCACTTAATGTTTACATGGACTTTTCCCCAAGATCCAGAGGTGAAAGTTCAAACCAAGCATTAACTTTTAAGTTTTCTTTATGTGAGGCAGCATATCCTCATCTTTCCATATTGAACAGGGACATTAGAAGGCAAATTCATTTGCCTCAGCTTTCTTGTTTCTTTTCATTTAATATTATGAAAGGCAATTACATAAATCTAATATGCTGTATACATCAATGTTGTTTTCAATTTACTGACGATACTGAATCCTGGAGAAGTCATCAAGGGAGTGAATGGGCAGTAAGCAGTGAGGTGCAAATAGAATTTGCACAGTCATGGCAATCTCCCTGACTCTTGGTGTCCTCAGGCACCCAAGGAGGGGAAAAGACAGAGTGTTTCAGGATTTCAGAGTCAAGACAAAACTAAAGAACTCCCAAAGATAAAGACAGTTGCTACTTTTAATAAAGAAGAAACAGTTTTGGAATATACAATATCCAGAAAATAAATCATGAATACGTTTAAATTCACTATGTCAAGTGTCTCCTGTATTTTCTTTTTTCTCTCAGAGAGCTTGGAAGGATTTCCATTAATTGCATGTTTAGAAAATTAAATAATGAGCCTGATGTCCTGGGGTTTGAGTCATTTGTTTCCAGTTTGGTGGCCAATACAGGTAGAAAAATAATGACTTTTCATTTTCTTTTCTTTTCCCAGGGAATATCAAAATACGATATAGAATGCCATAAAAAGTATGGAGATATGTGGGGGTGAGTATTCTGCAAATGTCTGATATACAGATTTGTTATGATGTGACACCAAACTACATGAGAGAACTTTGTCAGTCCAGAGTTAATTGGGTCACATTTGCCTGTTTTAAAGTGTCTGAAATCCTGTCCTGCCAAGGGTTCCACAAGTATGTTGTTGCCCACAGTCTGAATTAAGATGAGGGCATTACAGGTAATGATTTGTCTGCATCCATTGATGTTCCAGAAACACCTAGCCTTACTTAAATCCAATGTCTTATAAGGGTTCCTGCCTCCATATAGTCTTCCTTGAAACTTTAAAAAATTTTAAGATATGCATTAATTCAGATGCATGTAATATGTGCTCATAAATTCAGAAGAGTGTCCCCTGCCCGTACTGATTTATACTTAGATAAAAGCAAAATTAATTTTATAAAAAAATATTTCCAGTAAATGTGAACTTTTTAAAGATAGGTTAAGGGAAACATAGGCATATTTCCAGTTATTATTTTTGTCTAATTTAATGTGTGCATAAAGTATGTTTTTTATTTTTATTACTTCACTTTTTGATTGAGATTATAATATAATTTCATCCTTTCTCCTTTCCCTTTCCTCCTTCAAATACAACCTCTGGTTTTCATTAATTGTTGTTACGTGATTATATGCATATATAAGTCCATTTCTATTCATAACTATGACCTATTCAATCTGCATACTGTTTTTTGTATGTATGTTTTCAGGGCTGATCATATGGAACTGGTAACCAGTTTGTGTGCTCTTCCTTAGGGAAGACCATTTCTCTCATTCTCACTAATCCTTACCTGCCTGTACTTCTTTCTGTAGGTTTGAGTCATCCTGGGCCTTGCCCTGTTGTTAATTTTTTGAAACCAGGTTTCAATATATCCAACATAGGTCTGGAAGTCACTATGAGTCCATATTGGCCTAGAAGTCTCTGTCTTCCATCTCTGCCTCCTGACTACTGGTCTTAGAGTTCTACGATTCCAAACTTTGTTGAATTTCCTTTTACTTTTCAATTTTTGTTACATTTATACAAGACATTGACTTTTTAACTAAAGTGTATATAATTATTTCCTCTCAACACATACTACTCACTTTGAAGAAAAGTTGTTGGATATGTTATACCATGCTGTTGACTTCTGGGCTTGTTTCATTTATTTACTTATTTATTTACTTACTTATTTATTTATTTATTTATTTATTTATTTATTTTGGCTGGGCGGTGGTGGTGCACGCCTTTTCTTTTTCTTTCTCTTTCTTTCTTTCTTTCTTTCTTTCTTTCTTTCTTTCTTTCTTTCTTTCTTTCTTTCTTTCTTTCTTTCTTTCTTTCTTTCTTCTAAAGATTTATTTATTATTTATATGGCTTGTATGACAGCAGGCCAGAAGAGGGCACCAGATCTCATTACAGATAGTTGTGGGCCACCATGTGGTTGCTGGGAATTGAACTCAGGACTTATTTTGTGTGATGGTTGAGCTAACTGGGGATTTGTCTAGAGCATTGGAAGAAGTGACATCACTATGCTATGTGCCACAAGCAAGGTGAAAGAGGTTCTGCCTCTTTCTCTATTCTCACTCATCACCAGAAACCACAGTAATAATCACAGGGTCTGCTGAGCTCTGATGGCCTCATGACCCAAGGCCATGGGCATGTTGTACTGCGTTTCTATTGGCCCCAAGGAAAAATTCCTTGAAACATTACTGATTGTCAATTGTTAAGAATTTGCCCTTAGGTGCAATAGAGTAGCAGTGAGTAAACACCTGGTGTTCTTACTGAAGGCCAAGGTTCAGTTCACAGGAGCATGTATATATAGAACTAGGGGTAATATCAGGATCAAAATGTAATCATCTCTGTTTTTCCAATACAGGATATATAATGGGCTGGTCCCTGTGCTGGTTATCACAGAACCAGATATGATCAAGAATGTACTAGTGAAAGAATTTTATTCTAACTTCACAAATCGACAAGTAGGTATTCTTTCAAATATGTGAGGATTATACAAACCAAACATGTTATATATAGGAATATGTATAGGTATATAAATATTCATATATGTATTCGATAACAATTATTTCAACAACCAGGCATGAATAAGAAAAAGAGAAGAAAGGTGTATGTGGAAGTATTCGAAAGGGAGAAATGTGCAATTACATTATAATCTCAAAAATAAAAAAATTAAAATGTGAGTATTCATTTAAAAATTTTATCATACTCCCACATAGTCTAGCAGTTAGTGTTGCTGGTTTTCACTCAGTGTGCCTATGTTGCACTCTAGGTATAGGAACAGCTGCATCTTTCAAAAAAATTAGCCAGGCTGTGTTGCTGCACTTTTACTCACAGCATTAAGGAGACAGAGGCATGTGGTTCTCTTTGAATTTGAGCCTAACCTGGTCTACAAATCAAGTTCCATGACAGCCAGAGCTACACAGCGGACTCTGTCTTAAAAAGCAAAAACAAAAAAAAAGTATTATGAGAGGCTAGAGATGCTGCCCAGTGTTAGATTAACCTGACCCAGAGTTCAGTCTCCAGTACTGAGCAAACATTTTATTACGAAATTCTTATGGATTCACTGTAATTTGTCAAAAATTTACAAAGTATGCTATGAGTCTTCATGCTCTTTTGTCCAGGTGGAGGCTTCAACCTTTCCCAAGCAGAAATTCTCAGCACTCAGAGATAAACAAAACACTTCTTTTATTTGTTTTCAACCATTGTTTAAGAGGCCCAAACTTGCTGTCTATGTGGGTACTCATGGTGGTCACTTCTCAGGGGGAAGAGCAGATGTGACCTTGGTCATCAGCAAGCATGAAGCAGAAGTCACTAGTTCATTTTAACAGCTCTGCTGTCTCAGGGTAGAGACTGGTTGTTACTGTCTCCTTATACTCTTGTCACCCCATATTCCCTAAGGAAGCTTGGTAATCATAAGTAAGGTTAAAGTTGGTGTTTTCCTTTCTCCTTCAGTTTTTCCTAGGCAGTTACTTATTTACTTTATTTATTTTATTTGGCAGTGTGTTTAAGCTTTATTAGTGAGTGTCAATGGTTGCCTCCAAACTCAGTTTGGTCTGATGACAGAGCTAATGTAATTTATCCACATTTATATACCTCCTTCTATAAACAGCTTTGAATGGTACTTTTAAAACTTTTTAGTTAAAATACAAATATGTTATTTGTTTTCTCTTGCTCATCTCCCCATTCCCATCCCAGCTCCCTTTAGATGATATAAAATATTGAATCCCTGTGTCATTCAACCGTCCATAGTGTTATTCGTCATTTCCTCTTCCTCTCCTTCTGTATTTTCCTCCTTCTTCCTTCTCCAGTTAAAAGTCCCTCCCATTTTCCCCATTTCTCCTTCATATTACCTGTGTCCTTCTATTTCCCTCTTAGGGGATCCCTTTGTCACACCCCCATTTTAGTTACCTCCTTTCTGTATTCAATCTTTGTTGTATACACACATATGGAGATTGAGGGCTAGGAACCAAAGGTGTGAAATAACATGGGGTATTTGTCTTTGTGGGTCTGGGTTATGTCATTCAATATAATATTTTCTAGTTCCACTCAATTACTGCATGGTTTCAATTTTCTTTACAGCTAAATTGCATTCATTTTATACATATACTGCATTTTCATTATCTATTCACTATCTATTAGTTGAAGGATATTTAGGTTGTTTCCATTCCCTAATAATTGTGAACAGACCATCAATGAACATGTCTGCAAAACATCCGTGGAGTAGGATGTTGTATTTTTGAAGAAATGACAAGAATTGGTATAGCTGAGTTATGTGGTAAATTTAATTCTAGTTTTTTGAAGAATTATCCACAATGATTTTCAGATTGCATTAGTTTGCAATCATACTACCACACTACTGTTTTTAATATCAGAGAGATCCATCTTCCTTTGCTGCTGGTGTGCTGCTGTTAAATGTGTGAGACATGATGCCCTCTTTCATATCTCATTTTGAAAATGAGTTGCTTGAAAATGAGTTGCTTGTTTCCTTGAGTCTTTGTGTTTGGGTACCTTATAGATATAGACATTAAACCTTTATGAGATGTGTAGCTGGTAGAGATTCTCACTTTGTAGTGTTCACCTTCACTCAATTGACTGCCTCCTCTTCTGTACAAAGCTTTTTATTTTTATGAGGCAATATTTGTCAAAATTTTACCTTAATTTCCAGACAAATGGAGTCCTGTTTATGAAGTCCTTTACTACACCTGTATTTTTTAGTGTACTGCTTCAGTATTTTTCTTGAATATCTAGTATTTCAGATTTTACACTGAGGTCTTTGAACCCTTTGTAGTTAGGTTTTTTTTTTTTGTAAGGTGATCGAGATGGGTCTATTTCATTGTTGTACATGGGGATATCCTTGTTTCATAGCATATTTTTGAAGATTCTGTATTTTCTCCAGTGTGTATTTTTGAAATCTTTGTCAAATAT